GACAGGTATAGTCTTAGCTGAAAGGCAATATCTCTATAACACAACTAAATATCAAGAAAATCAAACATGTTTTATGTGAACCCATCTTGCAATATTGACACAGCTCTCTATTAAATTAGGGCTTCTGATTTTTCCTTGTAAAGAGTAAAAATAAAACAGAAGAATTTTTTAAAAAAGTTTTGTTACTCACAGTGATTGAGAGTGTTGAATTCCTAGTTAGGAGAGACTGCGTGGTGAAGTTCTAACCCTTCAGAAATGGATTTTAATGGAAGTGTTGACACAGTGTTAGTTATACCATCACAAGTGCAACGCCAATACATTATTCCCTTATGGTAACAGACAGTATTGAAGCTGCCCTGTAATTTGGCACTGAACATTTCTATACTAACGTAATGTGACAATGTTATTATGTCTGCTATTTTCTATGCCATAATAGCAGTATTTGTTTCCACAAACGTGCCATTACATTCACTAATATGGCTGTACTTAAAGACTGCTCGAGTAAAAACAGATGTAAACTTATAAAAAGCAGATAATCTCTTATAGATGTTTTTTGCTGTGCCAGAGTAATTTTCAACCCTACTCTTATAAAAAAAGCTGAATTCCCTGGGAGGATAGCTTTTACTACATAACCTGCTGTTAGTTACTATGTTCATGATGTGTTTTCTCAGAGGTGCATGTATCCATCCATCCATTTGTAAGAACAGCCATTAACTGTCCTTTTAGTACACTCTTTATATAATCCCATTTTTTAGAAACAACTGCTACTGGTCTGCTTTACACTTATCAGTGTAATACTTCTGTCTATCACATCTAAAGACCACTGGTGCCCTGAATCTCCAAGTGTCATATCACATCAAAAGACAAAATAACAAACTGTATAGCATCTTGGGGTCAAAAATTCTCCTGCCTTGTTTATCTTCTTGCAAATAGGAAATTGCAGCATGCAGAAAGTTCCCACCTTTGCCACCATGGCTTATGGTCTACAGGCATTCCATACTCACTGGAGTGGACTACTGAGATTTGCAGCTAAATCAAATTTCTGTGATGGTGTTCCTGATGACAGTTGTAAAACTATAGCCTTACATTTAGCCCAGTGTAAGGCCCAGGCCCTTTTTCATAGGAGTACATTTCTGAAATTTCTCTTCTCCCAAGCAGACAAACAGAGAACACTCTTGGATTGGGAAAGAAAACAATCTGCCTCACATGGCACTTATTTTGAGAGAACTTTTAAAAAAATCTTCATTTTAGGCTTGTGCACATTTTCACCTGCAATAATACACTGAACAGTACAGGAGTAATAATTTGCTGCTATCAGAAAGATTAAAGAAACTTGCACAATGTATTAGAAGAATGTATTATAACACTTTTCAAGAAACTATTTCTTTCATTATTTCCTCCTCACTCTCTGTTTTGGAAATTAAAGACAAGAATGATACATGTGAAACATTTGCATTATAAAGCCCAGGACCGATGTATGTCAGATCTTTGTGCACTGAGGTTACTATGGGAAACACATTGAAAGTATCAGCTCAAATGCAGCAAGGTAATTTGTGCACATAAATTTATGCAAATTGCAGATGATACAAAGCTGGGAGGAGTGGTTGATAGACCAGATGTGTACGCTGCCATTCAAATGGATGCTGACAAGCTGGAGAAGTGGACTGACAAGAACCTCATAAAAAATGCCAAATCCTGCACCTGGGGAGGAATAAACCCACACATCAGGACAAGCTGGGGCCTGACCAGCTGGAAAGCAGCCTTGCAGAGAAGGATCTGGGTATCCTGGTAGTCAACAAGTTGCACATGAGTCAGCAATGTGTTCTTGTGGCAAAAAAGGCCAACAGCTTCATTGGTTGCGTTGGGTAAAATGTTGCAGAAACGCTGAGAGATGTGATCTTTCCCCTCTACTCAGCACTGCTGAGGAGCAGCTGGAGCACAATCTCCTAGTGCTGTGACCCCCAGTGCATGAGCATGCAGGGATAAGTCCAGCAAAGGGCCCCAAAGGAAATTAAGGGCTCTCTCATATGAAGAGAGTCTGAGAGACCAGGGACTGTTCAGCCAGGAGAAGAGAAGGCTCAAAAGGGATCATTCAATGTTTTAAAATACCTGATGCATAGGAGGTAAAGAAGGCAGACAGATTTTTCTCAGTGGTGCCCAGTGAGAAAACAAGAGGCAACAGACACAAACTGAAATATGTGAAATCTTACTTAAACTTAAGGAAGATGTTTGTACTGTGAGGGTGAATGAGCACTGTCACAGGTTACCCAAAGTAGTTGTGTAGTCTTCATCCCTGGAGAGGGTGACCCAGACAACTTGTACTATCTGACTCTGAACAGAGGGGTTAGATTAGGCACTTTCCACACATCTCCTCTCACCTTGGCCCCTTTGTTGCTGAAATTTCTGCTCAAATATGTCCCCTAAGAACTGGTGGAACAAAACAGTGGTGAGGTGTGGTGGGTAAAATTGTGGCTGAGGGCAAAACACCCACCCAGCTGCACATCCACTCCCTCTGCTCTGACACTGATGTTCCCTCTGCTATTTCTCACTCATTTTGTTCCTTCATCCTTTATCTATCCAGCATTTTGGCAAGAGTGGCATACTTTCTGAGTGTATTTTCATAGAGCAGTCACCAGCTTGGCTTGAGAGACTCAGCTGTGCCTTGTGATGGGTCTGGTGGAGCAGGCCATACCCAGCATGTCCTGTCCTCTCGTCACCAAGGCCACACTCCAGCACCTCTCTGCAAACACCAAGACACGGGCATCCAATACTGGAGGAATGTAAATCTCCATAAAACAAGTACTTTTAACTGTTTCTGGTATTATCACTGACACTTATTTTTAAGTGGTCAATTGTAGGGCTTTGAGAACTAAAACCCCCTATTTACGAGATTCTGATGTCCAGAATACTCTGTTCTACCTAAACCAGTATTTTTTCCATGTAAAATAAGCCAAGGTCCTGCCTGCATAGCAATACTGGGTTAGATTTCAGCTTCTCTCAACCAGCGTCGCTCCACGCACAATCTGCAGTGGAAACGTGCTCGCACACACCGCTCGGGAACGTGCCTACATCCTTCCTGAAGGGAATGCATTTTCAGCAACAAGCAGGTGCTATTCCAGACCTGTCGCTGAGATAATCTTTCTTCACAGGAAGGGAATTTGTCTTACTTCAGTGCTGCAAAGTTTACCCTGTGGTGTGCAGCCCGTGCAAGTTATCAAAAACTGCAGTAACATTTCATCATTTCTCTTCCCATTATGTTCTTCCCAGACACAGTAGAGAGCAATCTTGGAGCGTCTAGATGACGTTGAGGTTATGACAGAATTTTTCCTCCTTTCTGGCATATATACCATTATGAAAAATCCCTCTTGTTAGATTTGCTTTGCTGATTTTTCAGTATCTGAACTAATCTAAGGAGTCAAGATAAAGCAGAAACCAAATGTATTATTTACTAAACTCTGCATTCTATTACAAAATATCCATGTCAAGGTAAATATATATTTCATGTTTGTGACAAAAAAATATTTTTAAAGAGATTTATCTGGAAAAAATTATTTTTAGCAGCCATTTACTAAAGTAGAGGTACTCCTTTTCCATCTTCAGAAGTAGTATATTGTGAAATATCTCAATTGTGTGCAATGCAGTCTATAATGTTACCATATAAATAAGCCTTCACAGATTGGTAAATATCTTTCTTATGTAAGTTCATCGATTAGCGAAATTTACGGATTAGCTCTCACTTGAATGCTCCAGGTCCAGACATCAATTACTGCTAAAACATTTATAAGCAAAGTTTTTCCTTTGTTAGATGTTATATATGTAACTTCTTATTCATAGCTTTTAGTTATTTTTGAAACAACTCAAAGATCACAGAAAAACAGAAATAAGAACTTAAAAGCAAAATTTTCTCCTGTAGCCCATAGGTGACTGAAACCTTAAAAAATATGTTTAGCAATATGACTAGTCACACATACTGGTTGGAACTGCAAACTCATGTACATAAAGTAAATCTAAACCTTTGCTCAAATTATTGAAAGTTTTTTGATACCATTTCTATCATGAGAGCAACTGCAGAGAAACAGACTGAGGTAAGTCCTTTTTGTTCTTTCCACAGCTTTCAAACTATGGAACTTTCATGAGAATAAATAATTAGGTTTTACACATAATTAATTTTCTAGCCTTGTGAGAAATACAATTTGAGCCAAAAGCCTTGGGGAAATTCCCTCTTCATGTAGATATAAAAATGTGCAACATTTGGATATTACAAATGTGATGAATTAAAAATAAAACTCAGTAGCTTGCTTTTACCATTTACCATGTAACATTATGGCTCTTCCATTGCTATTCCACCATCATTTTTGTATAATTCTATTTAGATCAATAAGGTTAGATTGGAATGAAACTAGATTATGAAGTTAGTGAATCAGGACTCATATTTTTGACACATTTAAGCTTTTCCTGAAAGACCAGATGGTTGGTGTATGTTGTGTAGTTTTATTCAGATGAAATCTAAAAGAACTAAAATACTCAGCATGCTTTTATTATTGGCATGTTTAGTGTGTCACCTAAAGAAATCTACAAAGAGAGATAATGAGCCTTGTCAACTGTTTCACAGTAATTATAGCCCTCATGATAGTGCTACAAAATTATAATATAACTTAAGATAACAAAATGTAAAACGTTTCTTCAATCAGGAAAAAAAATCCCATCTGAAATATCTATGCAGGAAAGGGACTATATCAAACAGGTAACCATCAGTATATTAGACTCGGAATCAAGTGTAACAAAGCCAAATTCTGCCACTGTTTCATACTGCCCGTTGTCCAAAATTTATACTGTATAGTTCAGCATTGTTCTTATCACAAGCCTTACAGATTTTCACAGGGTTTACCGGTTCATTTAAATATCTGATATTACAATAATAAAACACTTCAGGCACTTGCTTCAAATGTTGCCTTTAAGCTCTCAAGGATTCAGAGGGCCATTTTTTTTTTTGTACTTACGGTCATTGCATAGTGGTCCACTAAAGGAGGTCATGCTACAGTCACAACTGAATCCATCCCACTGCTGTAAGCACACACCCTGGTTTGCACACGAATCCTCTTGGCACGTTGTGCTGGGGCCTAATGAGAACACACAAAAAAGGACTTGCACTTTGTCTTCCAAAGAAAGGTATTTCTCACTGGGTCACATTAACTAGTTGCCAACATCTCAAATCATATGAGCAAAGAGTTACCGAGTCAAACACACATAAACTTGCTGATTTTGTAGCAGCACGTAACATTAAAAGGGTGGGTTTGCTTTAGTTGTAAGATTGCTATGTCAAACACATAAGAATGCACAAACGGAAGCAGAGTTATTCCAGGTACAGTGGGAATGTTAACTTTGTTGTGAGTTATTTCTTAATCTCGTGTCAGACCATTAACTGGCTAAATGTTTTCTAAAAACTTCATTATTTCTTCCTGTAAATACATTTCAAACCGCAAAGCCAGATGCCACAGAAATCAAAACTCCAGGATATGAAAGACTGGATAATAAAATTAAAAACAAAAACGAATTTCAAAAAAATAATAAAATGAAGCTACACTATTACGATTATCTTAATCTCACAAATTATTTTAAATTATTTAGGTCTGAAATTAAGGGCAGTCTGGGATTCTTTGGCAGGAATGTTGACAAGAACTGATTCACATGCTTCAGGGATCCCATGCAGGTTCCTTTTTAAAGAGGAAATGCAGAAAATCAGACTACTAATGAACTGGCATGCCAAAATGTGACATACGCATGAAAAACAAAGCTACTCTATTTCTAGAGAATCATAACTAGACTACTGAAATATAAAGAAATTTCAAAAAGGAATGATCAAAGCACTAAAGCAATCACTATACAAACATATTCAAGACTGAAAGCCTCTATGCAAGCTATGCTGGAAAATGAAGGTTCATGTAGCCCATTGTTTTAGAGGTGTGAAAGACAAAATCTGAAACAAAATAACACACTTTAGTTCTGAAATGTACAAAGCGTTTATTGCAGAAATCCAACTGTGCATTGGGGGTTTCAGTCTTGTTTAATACACACAGGGCTATCTACCTTGCAAATCAGCTTTCATCAATGCAACTTTGTCAGCAAAATAAAAAAGCAAAATATAGTAAATGTTAGTAAGCAATATTGAAATGGCAGCAAACACAGAAAAAAAACATTCAGAGTAAAGTGCATGCTGCTGTTAAAGAGAGAAAGAAATGCCATATAATGCAAACAAATTAATGCTAATAGCCATAAATCTTCAGGCAAGCCAAAATAAGAAAGCAGTAATTTGCCAGTATCTTACTAGAAGTATAATGGTTAATTGAGCCGATGGCATGTAATGAAGGAAAATTAAAAGTGGGCTATTTTTTCTTCCTTGGATAGATATGAATGCATTAACAGAGTAAATGCATGGCTGAATCCTGACTAGCCATTTGTCATGTTCAGATACACTGAATTCAAGACTAATTAGCACCATCATCCACTGTGGTCTGTCTTTTCTCTAGCCCCTTTCTTTGTGATGGATGAATGAAGACTGAAATACGGACTGTGAACCACAGTTTACAACGAGCTCACACACACATTTCACACTAACTCTTGACACTACAAGGAAAAATTTGGTTCTGGGATTATAAAATTGTCCTAAATTGTTTTGGAGGAGACACATCAATATCCATTTGAAACTCCCACTGCCAGTCATTGATGACAGGGCAAAACTGGTCCAAAGATTATATAAATATATTAAAAAATCACACTGTAGAAAGAAATCCACATAACCCTTCTTTTACATTAGAGCTTCTTCAAATATCTCGGTGTGGGACTTTCTTTTGATTTGCCAGTATTTTAGAAAAATCCATATCAATATGATTTTAGTCAGCTCAATGGCCTCTTCCTTTAAATGAGGCACTGCTCAAGCACATCCCTGAACCAGGGCCTGAACAGCCACCAGAGTGACTGAGAACAAGGGCAGAGTACACTGCATTTTTTGGCAAAGCTATTAACTGTTCTATTTTCTCCTGTTATAATAATAACAATAGCTGACTTACTGCAGTAGGCAGACATTAGGTAGTGATTTCCCTTTCTTTGGAGTTTTGAGCCCAGAAGTTTAAACATTTGGGCATTACATCACCCTTTCCTGAGCTAGGGATTATAATGACAGAATCCCGTAGCTGACAAGACACATTTTTTCTCACCAGATTCTGCTACTCAGAAACTTTACAAAGCTGAAGTGAAAATATCTGTAGGTGTTTAAATGTTATATATTCATGGATTTATTTACACTTTGTTATGCAATGTTGAATTTCCTCATCTTTTGCAAAAGTAGAGCAAAAGTCACAAGGACTTAAAAGTACATAAACTGCAGGACCCTGTAGGCACATTAAGAAGTACATGTCAAAACAAACATATTTAGAAAAAAATACAGATACAATCTTGTTACAAAACAAGGTATTTTGCTTTTCAATGAATTGATTCTTAGCACTTTTTTATATATCTATATTAGCCATTATTAAAAGATTGCCATCAAGACTAGCTTACATATAAGCATTTCTTTAAATAAAAGTAGGATTTTTTTTTTTCTAAAGAGCAGAAGATGACTGCTTAATATTGGTAAATACTACAATATTTCCCATAAGAGGCCCATATTTTCCTATATATATATATTGCAGAACTAAGCTATTTAGTAAAAGTACTGTAATATACTCTTTTCTAGCACTCATCCTTTTATTCATATTCAATTTAAATATTTTAAATTATTCAGTCTTCACTGCAGACTTTTTAATTGACTGGATTTGGTCTCTCATTTACATTTGTCCTGTGTGAGGTCTTAATGCAATATGTAACACAAAGAGCATTTTAAAGTAGCATATACATTGTTTTGGGTTTTTTTTGCAATATATATTGCAAAAAACTTCCTTATCTTACCACCAAAATCTTTATGGATGCTAATATTGTGAAACTTTTCATATAGCTTGTATGCACATGCAGGCACACAGTGCATTTTTCTTCTAAATATATAAAAACTATGTTTGTATCATACTGTAATTTCTATAGTTTCTTCTTTATTTAAAGTGAGTAAAGAAAGTACAGCAGATTTGACTAGAGAAAAACAGTGTTGACACGACCTGGCTCTGGGGTCTGCCATTAACAATTCCAAGAGCTAGTTAGCATATTTATGTTTCTAGCTGTTAGTTTCTATGTCTTCTAGTCATAGAAAATTTGTTAACAAGGTGGATTCAGCCAAGTGTAAATTATGTCCAATGTTCAATGATAGAGAACAGACATATCTATCTGGCTGTGGTTGAAGCTTCAAAATGCAAGCCTTACAGTTTGCCACACCAATCCCATGACTGGGTTTTCAAAAAAATGTTTCATGCACTTAGGACAGCAAATTTATTGAGAAATATAAATATTTTAAACACAAAATCTAGCGGAGAAAATTAATTAGCAGTGTATTATGGCTTCATAGTTTGATAGAAGAGAGAAAAAGAACTTTCATTTTTTTTTTTACTATTACTTTTTTTTTTTTTTTTTAATATGTACTAGAAAGTTGGGGAATTCAATCCCATAAACCTGAAAAACACCAAATCCAAGTGCCTCACTTCTCAGGCCAGATTTTCCATCAGCCTGATGTCTTAACAAAGGACATACACCAGCTGTCTTTTGGATTGAGAGTGGTGGTGACCAACACTTTTGAAATTACTTCTGCTGCTGTGTCCTGAGCTCTTTGGACTTGACATCTTAGGGAATTTCAGAGCTTACACATCCCATTGTAGTGTGAGATTGATGCAAAACACTCAGCTTTGTAAAGATGGAGACAGTCCTGGCTGTACACAGCAGCAGAGGTGTGAGCAGCTTGAGGCGTACAACAGTTCTCTAGGAGGCAGCTAAACTCACATGTGACTTAAATCATATTTTAGGTGACAGAACACTTTTTTGTACATCTGATTCATGGTCTGCAAACAAAAGACAAGTGGATGGGTCAGACACAAAGACTTGAAGTAAACAAGTGAGATGGAAGAGTTAACTTGCAAGGTTAAACAGAAAGGTTGGAAGGGAATATATCATTCCATGCTGTTAAAGATTTCCTTCTATGGGCAGAAGACTTTTGATGAGGCAGTTCTCTGGGAGCCAGGCAGCACATCTGGTTTGACCAGTTTGTTCTGTCAGATGATTTTGATGTTGGGAAAACACTGACTCTCTATCTAAAAGGACAATAGTTGTATGGCCTTTATTAAATTGTTGGTAGCTTTATTAAATTCACTGATAGATGAATTGTGCCACTGGTTTAAAAGGTGAACTCTCACACTAGGCCTGCAGCTAGCTATATTTCTTTGAAGTACATAAAATTCATTTAGGAAATGACATAATTTCAAAAGAAGCTATGAAATGCATAATGGAATTAAGGCATACTTTGACTCTCTGAAGGGATGGTGCAGGCATGGAACTTGCTAACACCCATCAGAAAGCAGAATCTAATTTTCTACACTCAGAGGCAAACTAATTTATACATATTTTTGCACTCCTGATAGAAATATGTAAAATTCACATCTTATTTTTTCTGTAGGTTTAATGTCTGTTTCTATGTGCTAACAATAGAACTTATACTGGTAATTAAAGGTAGTAGGTAAAGAACAAAAAAATTCCACCTTCACAAATGTACTGTAGGCACAACAAAAGAAGAGACAGTGTTTATCCACAAGAATGTTTTATCTCAAGAAGCTTGAGGAAACCCCTTGAGCTCTGCTTGGATTTTTCACAATGTTAATTTTCAAACTTAACAAACTTTATATCAAAATCATCAAGATTCCAACTTGAAATTAATTTTACAATGTCATTTACACATTTTTCTGTCAAGAGAAGAATGGCACTTAAGAGAAGGGAGAACATGTAAAACTGAACATAGACACAAAATTCAGAATTATGTGAATAAAGTAGATATAGAGTGACAGAAAATGTACTCAAATTATGCCATAAATCATAGTAAAAATAACATGGGATCAGAAGACAGCTGGAAAAATAGCTTGAAAATGGCACCCCTGAATTAGAAATACACCTCTTCTAATTCTGTCCTCACTTAAATTCCATGATATTCTAGATGAGTCAAAAAAGATATAAAAATGTGAGATATAACATATTTGTCTGTTACTGATTTCAGATAGAAAGGTTCATGACAATACTAATTTCAGGGGGAGCAAAAATAGAGAATATAGAAGATTGGTCTTAAGCGGCCTCATAAATTAGCCTTGAATTAATCAACTCAAAATGTCTGCTTTAAAAATGGAATCAGTTAGCTAACATCTCAGTATTAGCTAATGCCTAAGCGTTATAAAGATATAAAGAACTTCATTGAAGCTAATTGGTATTGTTTCTATCATTAATTAAAATACATCAGAAGTAAACAAAATACATGCAAAATATCTTGACACTGGAGAAGTATGAAACTACATTAAACGTTGTGCAGTTAACTCATATTCTCAGATCAATCTCTGTGCTGTAGGGCGGGCACACGCTTGTCTCCATAATACTAAAGAAATGCAGGGTCAAGTGAGTTCAATTAGAAGCAGGCAGAAAATAGTTTCTTGATGTATGCAGTAAACATATCAACAAAACACTCCAGGATTCGCACAATACTTTCACTATGATATGAAAAAAAAAAATCAGTATATTTAATACCTTCACATCCTCTTTCTATCTGCCCATTGCAGAAAAGAGCATCTGAGATTAGATCAGGGAGCCGTCCATTCAAGTCAACTGATGCAAGACAGCCTTGGAATCCCTCCTTTGCATGTACCAGTTTTGGCAAGGACTTAAACATTTCTTTGGCCACTCCTCCAATATACAAATCACCTGTTAAAGAGGAAATAAATATTAGATTCAGAAAAGAACCTGTAGAACTTTTGACCTGCTTGATCTTCTGGCCCTTTTGTGCTGAGTGACAGGTATATCCAAAAAAATCATTCAGAACAAATGTAGAAGAAAACAAACAGTGAACACATGTATGATACTATGACATTGCAGGGCTATATTTTTTCAAATGCAGGTGTAGACTTCAAATTTTTATGACTAATTACTTAGAAGTACCTGGCAATGTTATTTATGTACCAGCTCACCTGTTTAGGAAACATATATCTGTTTCACAGAGGAGCATTAAATCACAGAATTTCCATCAGGAAACATATCTAGCATATTCATAGAATCGTAGAATCAACTGGGTTGGAAAAGACCTCTGAGATCATCAATCCAACCCTTGATCCAACATCACCATGGTTACTAGACCATGGCACTAAGTGCCACATCCAGTCTTATCTTAAAAAACTCCAGGGACAGAGAATGCACCACCTCCCTGGGCAGCCCATTCCAATGTCTGATTACTCTCTCTGTAAAAAATTTCTTCCTAATATCCAACCTAAACCTCCCCTGGTAGAACTTAAAACAATACCCTCTTGTCCTACTGCTAGTTGCCTGGGAGAAGAGACCAACCTCCACCTGGCTACAACCTCCTTTCAGGGAGTTGTAGAGAATGATGAGATCTCCCCTGAGCCTCCTCTTCTCCAGGCTAAATAATCCCACTCCCCTAAGCCTCTCCTCACAGGATCTGTGCTCCAGTCCCTTCACCAGCCTTGTTGCTCTTCTCTGGACCTGCTCCAGCACCTCAACAACCTTCCTGAACTGAGGGGCCCAGAACTGGACACAGCACTCAAGGTGTGGCCTCACCAGTACAGGGAAAGGATCACTTCCCTGGTTCTTCTGGCCACGCTGTTCCTGATCCAGGCCAGGATGCCATTGGCCTTCTTGGCCACCTGGGCACACTGCTGGCTCATGTTCAGCTTCCTGTCAATCCAAACTCCCAGGTCCCTTTCTGCCTGGCTGCTCTCCAGCCACTCTGTCCCCAGTCTGCAGCACTGCAGGGGGTTGTTGTGGCCAAAGTGCAGGACCCGGCACTTGGCCTTGTTGAACCTCATCCCATTGGAAGCAGCCCAACTCTGCAGCTTGTCCAGGTCTCTCTGCAGAGCCCTCCTGCCTTCCAGCTGATCAACAAGATATTATGTAAAATGCATGGGTATCTACACTGATGCACTGAACATCTCTATTCGGGTGGCCACCGTGCTTGCAGGTGGTGGATGTGTCAGGAAAAAGTAAACTGAGACTCTTCTTTACAACTGTCTTGACAGCGTACTGAGTGCACATACTGAATAAAAATTCATGGTTTAAAGCAGTATTGCTCCAAGTGAGAATTTTAAAGCATTTCAGCATATTGTCTCAGTGCAATGCGTTTCAGACTTAATAGCTTTTCTTCAAATACTTTCCAGCTCTGTCTTTAAAATAGTGTGAACTGCTTCTAATTGTACATTATTTTGGGAAAGTAAATTATTTTTATTATATAAACAGTCTTATCTGCTTTTTAATGAGTTTGATGGCAGTTGAACTTTTACTTTCTTTCTTTTACTGTTACTGCATAGGAAAGGAAGTAATTCCTGAACTGGTATCCCACACAGGTGGGGACAACAACCTACTTCATGAAATGCTGCTTAGATGCATCAGTTTTCAGTTGAGATTGCATAATTTTATTTCAGTGACATCTTAAGAAAAACTGAATAAATTATATATGGCACTAAACACAGTAATGACTTCAACCTGGGCAGAAATTTCAGAAAGGTTTAAGCAGTTGTCAGAAATGTGTTGGATTTGACAGGTGAGGTGACCACAAAGTGTAAAGGAGACAAAATGTGAAAACTATGCAACATTTATCCCATATGAACTTCAGTTTCTTTATGGAATAAACATGAGAATTCCTTGCTTTAATGTTGACTGGATATAATAGCTAGGTTATTTTGATATAGATTTATAAAAGCATGGAATGGCAATATTAGCTGTGTCTTTCTTCTGGTGACTATATTTTTGTACTGCAGATGAAGATTGTGATTAGTGATCATCTCTTGGAATCTTGTACAATTGGCACAGAAAGAGGGAATTGGGGATGGCATGCTGGAAACCCCAGTGTCTTAAGTTTACCATACTGATGTGTGCTTTAGTCTGCTTACCTTTTCTCCAAATTGGGATGTATAACTTGGTCTAAAAGTTCCCTACTAGTGAAATTGATTTAATAGTAAGAAATTTATACTTCACAAACTCTATATGTCGGAATAAAAGGTGGGTCCTTGGGCCAAGAAAGATTTGACCTAATGTCAACAACTCAGATTTTCAGTTTCTAGTAAATATGCTATGTTTACGTATTGACCTATGAACAATAAAATTCTAGCCTCACAAGTTGACTATTCTCACTTTCACTGTGTTGGTGAAATTTTAGTTACACCTGCACTAATAATTTAGTGATTTTTTTTCGAATTTTTTCTGTTTTGTTTTTCTATGGTTACTATTTCCTTTGTAAGAGAGTGCATATTCCTCTGTATAAAAATGTGCAAAGATGGTTTTCAGTTTTGCTGGCTAGCATCTTTTGGGCATGTCTTCTGAAGAGGTGTGACTTGATTCTATGATCATACATTGGTCCAGAATCAGACGTGTGAATAAACAGTAAAATGTAACTAGTTCTGAGCACTAAATAAGAACATTTGTTTCATCTTCCTTTCTGGACTAGATTGGGAGTTATACTTAGCCCAGTTAAACTTTTGCTTACAGAAGATTAATTTGTTTTTCATAGCATATTGCACAATATTTTTATTTTTTTCACAGGCTGATATGTAAGGGATTAGACCTAAGGGACCTAAGTGCTGCATTGTTTGGTATAAAACTTTGAGGCTCCAAATAAAATTTAATCCAGGAATTTTAGAACTCTTGGAACATTGGGATCAGATTTTATTTTGAAAGCAAAGCTGGGAAGAGTTCTGAACAAGAGGGAAGCTGCTGCTTTGTTCCTTCTGAAATGCAGCCAGAGGAAGCATTGCTCCTGCAGTGTTTTTGTACAATAACTCTTTGGCTGAGCACTTCCCCAGGATGTGTGGAATATAATTACCACTTGTCTTTGGAGAAGAATCACAGTCAGTTCTTCACCTGTAGCAGCACTTTTAACCTCCAGCTAATTCCAAGCTCTGGGAAAAGGAGCTGTGCTCACTGGGCATTCTGGTGTCTCAGGAGAAGTTCATGGAGAGCTAGTGGAAGTCCTTCAATTTATTGCCTAGTGATCTTCAAGCAAGAGAAAGTCCCAGGTTCTGCTCCCTACTCTCTGGGCAGTTCCATGTGTTTTGGATACATATAATCACTAGACAAAATACATAAATAAACATCCCAGGTCATAGGAACCCATGGAGGGAGCTTCCAAATCTCTAATCTTCAGCTACCCTTTGGTAAGATGACTTGTTTTATTTAGGATATAGATACTTGTCTTTTAGAAGACAAAAAAGTTTCGGTTTCCTTATTGCTGTTTAATTTGTCCTTTGGCCAACATGCTGAGGGGGTATGTACTGCTAATGAAACACTTATGTGGAATTATCTTTACAAAACCAGCTCCCTCGACATCTTTGAGCTGTAGACTGAGTAGCAGTCTGGTATGACAACAATAATTTGTGTTATACTGCTTCACTGATCTACCCTTTGTAGAACACTTCTCTCGGGCTCTCTTAAAAGCCATCACACATGTTTCTGCATCCCCTTTACATTCTGAAACTGATACAGTAACGTGGCTGCTTCACACCAGTCTGAGATGGACAGCAGTGTCTGATGCACGCTGCTATACTGCATTTACTCCTTGTGCTTGTATAGTTACAAGGGTTATGGTTGATTTTTTGGAAGTAATTCATTGCATCGTGATCCTGTGTTTGTTACAATAAATAAAACACTGTTCTGGTGTCACCTTGGCGGGTTCACACCTTTCCAACCCGGTTCATTCTATGATTCTATGATTCCTTCAGTCACAGACAGAAAGGAATGAAGTCATGGTTCCCTATATCTTCCGTGAGTTTAGTGTCCTGCTTTGTTGTCCTCATACTTGGAAAAACCAGGAATCTTTGACAGCGTGGTAGAAGTGGCCTGAGGATGCCTGTAAGCAAGACCCTTTGGCACACAGGAAGAGGTTTGAGAAGCATTGAACCAGTTTGCAGTAAGGTGCTCATGGCAGCATCTGACTCTAAAGTGTCATCCAATGACAGAAATCTTATTCCACTTATGCATTAAATACTCACTATGCTAGCATAGATTTTCAGTAGACTATTTGAACATACATTCTAATCTACATTGTGCTTTCCAGCACGTTCCTGAATGATTTGAGAGCCTAGGCCACAGGATGGACCAAAAACTTTTTCTGTATCACCTCAAATACAAAATTGTTAATTCCCTGTTTGCTGTGCTTTGTAGGTAGGTTTTGTAGCAACTGAACCCAGAATGTACTAGCTATCACTATTACCCCATGTGGCTTATTTTAATCTCTCTCTTATCGGTGAAAGTCACAGTCACACCTTTTACTGGTTCTCCTGGCATACTTGCCTGTTTGAAAGGAAGTGCGATTTAGTGCTGTTTGTAATGGTTTACAGTTTGCCTGCAAGGAAATAGCCTGAAACAAATAAATGTTTATCAGACTGTGAAAAATTTTTAGTGACCAAATACCAACCCTAAAACTCAACTGCATTGAATTAGTGAAATATAGATAAAAAGCTTAGGAACTTGTATATTAATAAATTTATAAGCCAGCCAACCAAAAGTCTTAGCAACCTCTATAGCATCAGATACCAAGAAACTTTAAGCTTTATTCATTCTGTGTTGATAATTTGGAGAATAAGGTATTGCTTTCCTCTAGAACTTTGAGGTACAGTGTAAATCTCAGAACCATGAGATTAGACATAACAGATTAAAATATAGTGATCCATCTGTTACCACAAATGGGATCTAATTAATTT